TAGGCGGTCCAGGAGGCCTCTCACTGTCACGCCCTGCTTATGAACACCCCACCTCGTTGGGACATCTTGGAAATGGAACATCCCCACTGGATGGGGGGGGCCTGGAAGAACCCCCCCCCTCGGAGGACCCACCACTGCTCTGATGGCTGAGGTGGCGGCTGCAACTATTGTCTAACGGCAGGGCCAGCCCCGTCCAACCACTTCTAAAGCAACTTAACCGGCTCAGGTTGCAGCAACAAATTCAGAAGGTCTTCTCTCCAGGTCTGACCTGCTGACCATTACTGATTGGTTTCAGTGGCCAGTCCTGGGTTCCTAGTCTTTTCTGTGGGGCACTGAGAAAATACATCTTTCTCCACAAAAAGCACAGTCTTCTAAACTTCTTGTCAAGTCCTCCTTCTACCTATCTCTTTCCTCCTTTCTTTTCTTCCCATCATCCTCTCTCCCAGGCCCAAAGAGTTACCCTTTTCCTCTTAGCAGGGGGTGCACCAAAGCCCTAAAAGTCTTAGCAGACCTCTGATCTGTTAAACCCATCAACCCAGGAGCCCATCTCCCGAAGGAATTTTCCGATGGGGAGTCATGGCCTCTCTTGCAGTAAATAACTTTTTAAAGGAGGAGGGGATGGAAGCAGAGCCCAAGAGTCTGGACTTAATTTAAGAGAAGGGTTGTGGAAAGCGGGAGATGCTGAAGTCACACCCCGTAGCGTTAGTCTCAAAGGCATGTTTCTGTATACACTCGGAGATTCTCTCTCCATGTAATGTTGGAAAAATAGGATAGATGAGAAAGAAAGGGTGGATAAGGCTTTGGTTCTCTGGGAGATCTCTCTCTCTCTCTCTCTGGAAAGGGTCTTGCTTGCTTCATTCCCCCCCCTCCAGTCCATTTCCTGCCTGGCCTCCCCAAGGTAGCGCTTTCTTATAATTGTGATCTGGCCAGCTGTGTTTCAGCACCCAGGACAGCTCCGGTGCTGGCCAAACAATGGGGCAGAGCATTGGAGGAGACTTAGGGGCCCTGGTCAAATTCCTATCCTGCCGACGGAGGCAAGGGAAAAGAGAGAGGAGGCTGGGTAGCCCTGCGATATGGGGGCAGGAAGAGAGAGGACGTTGGCCCTTTCTCGGCTCAGCCTGCCCTTTCGTGCCTCAGTGTCCTTTGGGGAAAAAGGGGAGCCGGAAGGGCCTTGCTTTAAGGTTGCAGCCTATACAAGTTTGCAAGGGTGCAGCCTCCTGAACCTTCTCCATCTAATTGCCAGTGGTTTTGTGCCTTCACTCATGTTACCGTCCTGTGGAATTCCATGCCACCAGCTCCTTTAAAAAAAAAAAGCTTAAAAAGAAGAAGAACTTGTTGGCTTTTATTGAAGACACCTCCTCTCCTGATTCCGGGAATTTTTGTTAAGGGAATAGAAAGAGGAACAGAAGATGTTCTCTGGAGTTGGCCAGTTAAGCTGCATTGGGTCCTTTTGGAGAGAAAGGTGGGATAAAAATTTTTTGAGTGAGTAAGTAAATAAATAAGGTCTTTGATTTTTCCCCCTCTGCTATAGCTTTATTTTTTAATATATATTTTTATTTAACTATAACATAAACATAAAATACATAAACCAAAATACAAATTAACTGTGTTCCCCACCACCATAGTCGGGACCTCTTGCAATAATCTTCTTCCTCCATCTATATTCTTCTTCATCCTTTATTGTCCTCTTTTCCAGAACTGCATTGATTCTTGATTTGGAGCTTTCCCTTTTCCTCTTGTTAACACATATTCCAAAAATCTGCCCCATATATCATAAAAATTATTCTTTTTCAAATAAGGTCTTTGAAGCCAAAGCATTAAGTGTAACGATATTATTTTTAATGCTTCTTTTTAAAGCATTTTCATGAGTTATCATGTTTTCCCCGACAACCCCTGTAAACTGGTGTTTATAAGCTGAGCAACCCAAATCAGTATTCCAGTGATACTTGGACAGGATGTTTTTTGCCTCTGGTGAAGCAGTCAGAAAAACTACATTCTGAAATTTGGTGTGGAGCACTCAAATCTGTCATGTCATCATTGGGCCAAATTTTGAATGGATTCCTCCAGTAATAAATTACAAGCTTTTCAAATCACTTTTCTTTTTCTGCCTTTCCCCTTTGCAGCCTTTAAAACCTCACTGTCATTCCCTTTTATGTTGTTTTTCTTATCGCTTTAAGTGCATCCCAAAATGCCAAAGAACGATAAAAGACTGAGTTCTGAAAATTTTGCAATTTATCAAATTACATGATTTTTAAAAAACATGAGGTTTAATCAGTGCATTTTTTTAGAAATGATTGTTACAGTGACCCAATCTCTGTGGCTCATTTTGCTCTTCTGGGTAGAAGTAGAGGTATATTTATATCTCTCCGTCTGTATTTATATCTGTGTCTCTAGACAGGTATAATTGCTTCTCAGTTTCCAGTTTAAACTTCGGCATTTCAAATATGTTCTGAGCCAGGACATCTTAAATTAAATCCAATTTTAATCACTTTTTAAAATTCACATAAGCAATAATGTATTAGCCAATGTGTATTTCGGGACCTTGAAACATATTTGAAGCATGGAAGGAGATACACTGTAGCATATAAATTGAAAATAAAATATAGGCTTATTAACCTGGACCCAACTTTGAATTGCTGACCAGTGCAGGCTTGTGAGACATCCCATAAGGGGTCAATCATGTCTCAAATCTTGTCTTCTTTTTCAGGTTTCTGAGTTTTAGCTTGGAAGCTCACTATTGACCAGCCTAAATGTGGCAACCTTCACTAGTGATTTTTGATTCTTGGGAATTCAGTGACGAGAAAGAAGAGTCAATCTGGAGTAAGTAGATGAGCAGTGGTTCAAGGAGGAACGTTGGTTATTCTAGATCAAGCCATGCCTAGTGGTGCTCCTTAGGGGGGGGAAAGGAGAGGCAAAGAGAGGTTCAGCTGGCTAGACTGCTCAGTGGTTTAGGTCTCTGTTTGCAGAGCCAGAGGGTTGGGAGTTTGATTCCCCCCACTGGGCCTTCCGAGAGAAGAGCCAGCCTGGGTGGCCTTGGGCCAGCTGCACAACAGTCCCAGGTCACCCCTTGAAGAAAGGAAGACCAAAGCCCTTCTGAGGATTCTCTACCTGGAAAACCATAAGTCAGAATTGACAGAGGATGATTGAGGTTCCTAGACCTTGTCTTTTGACCTGAAAAGAACTCTGGCTGGCCCATTTAGCATCAAAAGACCCACGTGACGATTGATAAATACATTTATGAATTTTCACCCAGTCATGAGCAGCGTCTAGAGCACGTGGAGCAGGCCCCATCAAGTCTTTCAGGGCACCTCTTGAGGGGGGCACAGGCTACACTGACATAGGTGTAGAGTTGCAAAGTACTGTCCTGGCGCAAACAACAACATTGTTTTCTTAGGTTCCTTTAGCCTGAGGCAAAGAAAGGGAAAGCGTAGGGCAGCTGCTAGCTGCCAGAACATGGTTTTTCTTGGCTATACATCCCATATCCTACCACCAACATGGCCATAGCCATGCTTCGTTTGAGCATTCGGGAAATCTTTAACAATCCCGCCCCCCAAAAAGTAACATCTCCAGCCTCTGCTAGGAGTAGAGCTAGCCTTATTGATGGATGCAGTGGTTTCAGATGATAGTTTCTGGGTGTCATGAACGGGCAGTGAATTGTTAGTTATTTTGTCGTGATTTCATTGTGATTTCTTACTGCCAGGAAGGATGAGAGGGTGGGGTGGGATCTTCTTTTCTGCTTCCTTCTTGCCTTGCCTTGTCTTGCTTGCATGATGTGGGTCCAACCAGGTGCGAACCCTTTGGAAATCCTCTTGATTGTTCTCTGAAGTCCCATCAAGATAGACGTGATGGACCTTGTGATGCATAACCCAGTCAGGTTGTCCAGAGCTGCTGTTATCCAGTTGCCAAGGAAAGAAGGATAGCTTTTCTCATCTAGCTGAGCTTGGGGGGAAAAGGAAATGTCAAGTCCTCTTCCCAATTCACTCAACCACCATGAAGGAAACCAGAGCATCCATCCTCTGTCCAGAAAGTGCCCTGAATTTTCTTCAGTGGTTTTGGAAAACGGAGGGAAGGGAACAACGCAAGACCTCCTTTGCTGGTTGAAATCCTTGGTTTCCCCTCCTGGTTTGTGCACCTCTCTCTGGTCCAGTACTTTGTTGCTGGTCCCTTACTCTGACATGATTATTAGTCAGGAGAGGAGGGCGGGGGCAGAGCAAGCTGGAGGGTCGGGTTTTTTTTGTTGTTGTTGTTGGTAAAGAAAAAGATTTGAAACAGAGCTCAAGATCCATTAAAGGCAGGGACTCTCAGACCTGCAAAAGCCGCTGAAATTGAGGTTTAGGTGGGGCTGGGGGGGGAGGGAAGAATATTTTTTTTAAAAAAAGAAAAGGGGGTGGGAGGGGGAGAGGAAAGCGGCAGGCAGGGTCAGCTGGAAATGTATCAGTAAGCAAGCCAGGGGAGAAAGAGAAAAATCCACAACACACCCAAGGATCTCGACCTCCTCAAGGAAAGTTGATCGATAACCTAATTAACTGCTTGCAAGCTTCGTAACTAACTGCTTGATCAGAAGAATTAGGACGAGGGCTCGGGGATTGTGGACCATCCAGGAGTAAAAAGGCCAGATCACACAGAACTCTCTCTCTCTTTCAGCTGAGTACCTTTTGAAATATCTATATATGTAGAAACTGAATTTTAGGTGTGGTTGGTTTTTTTTTTGGACCAGAAAAGAAGAGGAAACCATCCTTTAAAAAAAAATAATAGTCGTCGTCGTCATCATCCTAACGGATTTGGGAGAAGGGGGAATAGCCGCTTCAACTAAAACAAGACCGGAGGGAAATTTTGCCTCGCAAAACCGCTGGTGGCTTTTGATCTCTTTGTCTGTTTTTGCCACTCAAGAAGAAGGACCGGCAAATCCAGATTAGGATTTCAACCATTTTATTTTATTTTGATTCCAGCATCTTTTTTTTATCAGTTGGCTTTTTTTGTTTTGGTGGGGGTGTTTTTTGTGGGGGGAGGTTGTGTCGTGGGTTTTATTTTCTTCTTACTTTTGGGTTTTTTTTTGGTGGGGTTGGTTTGTTTTTCCGAGGGTCACCATTCTGAATTTGAGGCTTGCTCCCGCTTGCTCCTCTTTGGACCAATGAAGGAACCAGACGCTATCAAACTTTTCATTGGACAGATCCCCCGGAATTTAGAGGAGAAAGACCTGAAGCCCATCTTCGAACAGTTCGGCAAAATCTACGAGTTGACCGTCATTAAGGATAAATACACCGGCATGCATAAAGGTAGGGTGCACAACACGTCTCTCCCACAATGGGAATATTCAGTGTTTGTATCCCTGTCTGTGTGTCTGTGTGTCTGTCTTTGTTGAAGTGAAACAGCTAAGGAAGCAGTCTAAAACAAGGCAAGAGTGGACCATCTTGGGTGGGTGAGAGATGAGGAGAAGATCCACCATTGCCAGGAATTGCATTGTCCAGAGACAGCAAGACAATAAGCGAAGGGAGGAAATTTGTAGTTTTAGAAAGCTGCGAATGGACTGATGGGGGGGGGGCCCTCCTCATGCTTGGAACTCTTAGCGTTATATGAGGGCTGTCGAAAGGAAGCATGTGAGAATAAGCCCTTTCGAAGGGAGGGGAAGGGAGTGGGGAGTTGAGAGTCGTGGCAGATGGCATGAGGTCCGGCTGGAAGATTTGCAAAAAAAAAAAAAAGGCATCATGAATAAAAAGCTGGGTGTTTAACGATTCCCACAATGGGGTTAGAGATGCAGCCGATGACTTGGCTGCTGGGGGGTGGGGGTGGGGGAGGCTGGAAACAGAAGAAGGGCGTATATTCAAATATTCCCATTTCATTGAGCTGGGGAACAAGGTGCCAAACCAGCTGGAAGACATGGAGGGCTCAGCTCAACTTACTGAGTATGAGACGGGCAGTGGGCTGGATTGGGGGGAACCATCTATGGGAAGAAGGTTTAGTAAATTTAGGCTGGCTTTGAGTTAGACATGCCCATGAAGCATTTGTGAAACACAGGCTAGCAAGTCTTGCCTCTATTGTTGATTTGTCCACCCCTCCTCTCAATTGCTTTTTTTCAAAGATAAGAACAGAGAAGGGTTAGGCAGATTGTTCCTATTGAAAAAATGCCCCTTGTTCAAATGTGATCCTAACGCTGCTTAAAAGAACTTTAGGGTTTTTGAAAGGCTGTTTCTTTTTGGTGTTTTCGTGTTCATTCATTCGTTCGTTCTCTCTCTCTCTCTCTCTCTCTCTCGCTTCGGGGAGGGAAAATGGAAACAAGTATTCTTAGCCCAACTTGGCATTGCTCTGGGAGACTTGGTCCCTGCCACAATGAGGGTTTCTATGTCTAAAAATATGCCGATTCAATAAAGCTCCTGGGACTTGAAGACGTCTTGCCTTCAAGATAGGAGGCGTTCGCCTTTCGTCAGATCGCTCTCCAGATTTTCTGGCAGAACTGCGAACTGGCGTGGTCCTCTTTCCACCGTGGACCTTCTTTATTCCAAGCTATAGAAAGGAGCCAGGTTTGCGTGCCACTCGATTTCCTGGTGGTTTGTATTGTTGTTAATTATATCCAAGAACACCTCAAACTTTTATCGATAGGAGAACTGTAGAGAGAGTGTGCATGCGTGTGCATACATGTACATCTACATGTACACATCAGTCACCTTCTTTGCCTGATGGCCTGTGTGAGGTGGTAAACCACGCTCACCGCTTGCAAAGATAACAGTAAATAAAAAAACCTATTTAATACACCTTGAAGGAACACCATTGAAAATGTAGTGCAGTTAAGAACATGAAAGTGCTTTGGCTTTGAAAAAAAAATTGGCATCTAAAAGGTCCAAAGTCTCTTCCTTTTGAAAATTCATCTGTGTCCAACTTCAGATGATGAAGAGGGCGGAAGACAGGCAGAAAAAACTGGAAGCGCTCATGCCACCTGGGTTCGCCAAGCCAGAGAGGGATTAATAGATTTTGCTTGGCAGGTTTCGGGCATGCTTTTTCGTATAAAATCTTTAGGCTCTGTGAAAGATAAGGCAAGCAGCTGGACAAGGGAAAGGGAAGGTGGGCTTTTGCTGAGTCAATTTAGAGTGGCTCTCTTCTGAAAGTCTAAGAGAACAACATTGATCATTCGTGATGGTCTGCTGGGATTGCGTAACAAGGTGTGAGGTGGTCAGTTTTGAGCTGTTGCTGCTTTTGAAGGTCTGTGACTGAGAGCTTTCAGAACAGATGCAGTGGACAGAAGCATTATTGCCAACTTTTTTTCCCCTCCTGCTCTTCTGTAAACCTTGAGCAGCCTATGAACAGGTGAGACGGTGCTTCTGAAGTTCCTCCAGTTCATTTTGGCGATCAAAAAACGCAGGAGTGGGACCAGAAAATTTGGCCACTCTCACAAGGGGGGAAATGAATCAGCACAGTTAGTTTTGAGGTTTCCTACGGGAGCTTTTACATTGATTTTTTTTAACAGAAAAACGTGTACGTGTGTCCCATCTAGGGGTGCAAAAATATTGCCTCATCTGGAAGTGAAAAGGACAATACTTAAACATTCCTTTCCCCGCTGGTGAGAGAAAACAGGAGATTTCTACAAGCACAAAATCTTCCCATGTGTTTGGGTTCAAAAAGGAAAGAGAGAAATCCATTGAGGATCATTGATGGCTCCATCTTTGGAAATGTTCAGGGTACCATTTAGGTGTAGCTAGGGGTGTTTCCCCAGGGCTAGATTTGTTTAGCCATGAGGAGCAGCCGCATACCTTACAAACTCATAGGAAGATGGACTGCCTCATGACGGGAGACATCTGATCCATGTCTTCCCTGCGTTTACTTTTAGAGAGATCACTCTCCTGTCCGGAGACACAACCTGGGACCTTCTCCTCTCCATGCAGAGCGGGTGCTGAGTCATTGAGTTAATGGCTCTTGGACTGTCCCAAAGACCTTCAAGAGCCCAGTCCTCATGGTGGTGTGTAATGGGGTTGATTTAAGTTGATGGGAAGCTGCTATGGTGGTGTGTAATGGGGTTGATTTAAGTAGGACCATGGGAAGCTGCCGTGTGCCAAGTGAGGTAGTCCCTCTGTCTGTCTTAGGACTGTCTGTTCTAGGAGGCAGACACTCTACAGAGTTTCATAAAGGGCCGTTTCTCAGTCTTACCTCAAGGTCCCGGGTGTCGAACCTGAGACCTCCTGCACACAAAGCAGGCGCACCCTTCGGCTATAGCATTTCCCCAAATGCTTCTCTCCACTCACATCGCTTCCATCCCCACCACTCCCAGCTGCTAGGTTGCAGCCCTTCGGTTCTGATTCTTGGGAAGTCACCATTTCAGGCATGCCACAATATTTGTAACTATTGCAGAAATCCTCGGTTTTAAAAAATGGCATGAGTGTGAGTTTTCAGCACTGTCATCCTTTAAGGTGTGTCTTCCTTCCCCCAAGGGAGCTGAAATATCTCAGTGGGCAGATGCCTTTTTCAACTCTGGATGCATATGCCCATAAAAATGCATGTGCATGGACACTAAGGCACTGGGCGGTGCATAACCAGGCATTCCACACAGCCTCCAGCTAATGAAATGAATATACTGTAATATAATATACTCTTCCCTCTTCTGAAATGACTCTGCCCCTTCCTGCAATGGGTTTCTGTCACCTCGCATCCAGTACTCCACTCCTTTATTACCTATAGCAGTGATCCCCAACCGTGGGTCCCCAAGTGTTCTTGGACTACAACTCCCAGAAATCCTGGCCAACACTGTGAGTGGTGAAGGCTTCTAGGAGTTGTAGTCCAAGAACATCTGGCGAACCAAGCTTAGAAGCCACTAACCTATAGGCTAAATATGTACTCTGGTTCTCCTAGCTCAGCTCTTCTTCCGCACCCCCACTGGGGGACCTCTAGAGGTATTGGGCAGATGCGATGGCCATTGTCATCAGATCCATCTGGAAAGATTCTGGTGAGCAAGAGGGTTTTCTGCATAGAATTAAGCCATGGGTATTTCCAAAGTCTAGAGAAACGTCCTCTGTGAGCAACTGGTGTTGCACATCAGCGAACCAGTCTCCCATTTTTATTATTCTGCTCCTGAAATCAGATTACTGGGGAGGTCATGTTTGTGACAGTTTTTCTGTTTCATCTGCACCAAAACATGTGGCAGCTTTATGACCACCCTTTGACTTCCGCCTGAGCGAACAGGTATAGATTACAGTCCTAAATGGTGCCTCTTTAGACGTCAGCCACACCAAAATCAGCAAGGCCTGTGACTGAGTGAATTTGTTTCTGAAGAGTTTCTTTCTGTCCTCTGCTGTGACTTTTTTAGATTTTCCTACTAATTATGTCAAACCTCCAAATCCCCACCCCCCTTTTTTTAAAGCAGAAGCAAAAACAGACCCAAAGGTCTGGTGCTTCTAATCCATCTATATATAACAGTAATATTTCAGTAATATAAGATGTGAAATAGGCATCCATTTCCGCAAAGCTTCTGAGGATTCGGAGGCAACTTTGTGTAGCAGAAATGGACCCCTTCCCTATTCCCAAATAAATCACACATAATTTAAATTAGGATCGCTCTTTCCGTGGACAAAAATTAGGGGCTGGGGAAAGCTCTCAGGGAGGAGGTGTGAAATCTGACAGACGTTTCTTAGATGGAAGGAGTATGGAATATTCTTTCCAAAGGTGAGGGAAAAATACAGGGCAAATAAAGGCAAGGGTTTTCCCCTTTTTTTGGTGTCCAGGGCACAGAATCGTAGGGATGCAAAGCTAATAGGGAAATTCCTGTAGGGTGGCAGAATCCCATCTTCCAAGACTTGTGTGGATAGTGGTTTCTGAAGCATTGGGGAGGTGGTCTGTGTCTGCTCCTGCCCCCTTTTGCCAACCCATCTCTCCCCTGTTTGATAAAACTGAAAAAAGGCAAAAGAACCATCCCTTGCCTTTGCTCACATCCATGAAAATATAGCAAGATTGGGCATTAGGTTGGATGCAAATTAGTGTTGTCCTGGCCAAGTTCATCCCTTCCTTTGGGGTTGGAGATAGATATGGAATTCACACACAGAAAGAGAGCGAGAGCTGGAAGGAACAGCTGCCAAATTTAATCTCCTAATGGCCCCAACGGGAAGGGTTCATTATAATGTAGAAGCATGTTAAACTAATAAACCAACAAGCAAGACAGGTAGATGATGGGTTCAAAGTTCTGTTCTCGTCTTGTGATTCTCATCCCCTCCCCAAACCCCTCTTCTTCTCGGAAGCTCACAAGCACGATGGGAAGGGACCGGTTTCTTTTCCCCCCGACATCTAATACTTTGGAAAA